CCCGGGAGCGCGCAACCTCTGCCCGCCGGCCCCAGGGGACCCCGAGCCGCGAGCCCGGCCGGCCGAGGGAGCCCCGCTGCCTCCTCCCCTGCTCGGGCCCGTGCGTAGAACTTCAATTAATCAGACACCTACACGTGTGTAAGGGTCGCATCAGTTCGTAGCACACATAATACCAACTCCGTTCTTCTTCTCCTTCTCCTTCTCCTTCTCCTCCTTCTCCTTCTTCTCCTTCTTCTCCCTTCTCCTTCTTCTTTTCCTTTCTTCTTTACTCCTCCTTGGGGACCCACCTCAGTATCATCCACTCCCGGGAAACCCAAATCAAGAACCTAGAATTAACTCTTTTGTATTTTTCCCCATGTTCTTATTAGCATATGCAAATATTTCTTTCTGCATTTACATATACAGAAATGCATATACATGGCATCTTGCTAGACAGATTTTTCCGTATCACAGGAGCTGTTATGGTTGTATAGCGGTATTATTTATTTATTTATTTATTTATTTACATACAATAAAACTCGCATTCCCAGTTTTTTACTACCATGAGCGAGGGTGTGATAAAACCCTGTTGCATATCTGTGTGTGCCCAGGAGTCGGATTGCTGGGGTAAAGTGGCCCTGGGTTTAATTTTAGAAGATACTGCAGATTGCTTTTGCCAAAGGTCGTTCCCCTCCCCTCCCTGCCAACGCCGAGTGAGGATGCCCTTTCCCGGACAGCCAGCAGCAAGGGGTGCCACAGGTGCTTAGTGATTTTAACAGGTGGGACCCCCGGAGGTATCTCCTTGTCACTTTAACTTGTACTTCCTTGACCCCTTAATGAACTTGAGTGCATTTTCATCTGCTTTGGGGCTACTTGGCTTTGCTTTTTAGGGAAAACTGCAGCCTCCTGATACATCTTTATATGCTTTAAGCGTGGAAATTCCCGTTCACCCAGAACCGCTAGAGAAGGAGGTGCTAGGGTGAATGGAATGATCTAGTTAGTAGAGTGCTCCCTCATTTGTCACACCCAATTATGAGCTTTCAAAAGATGAGATCATAGGCAGATATTTGTAGTATTGGGACTGTAACAAACAGGAGAAGCATGTGGGGAATGAAAAGTGAGTGGGCACTGGGGCCACTTACTAGATGTGTGCTATTGGGTAATCACCCAACTTCTTTGAGTCTCAGTTTGTTCATCTGTGAAACAGGGATAATGATGATAGTGCTGCTTACATCTTTACGGTTGTTGGAAGCATGGCAGTAATTTATGTAAAGAACCTGGGCATAGCTAATGGTCAATAAGTGCTGGTCAGTTATGATGAGCATGGTTTAAACTCTCCTCTGGTGTTTGTTTTTAAGTAGGCTCTGCACCCAGCATCGAACCCAACGGGGGCTTGAACTCATGACCGTGAGATCAAGACCTGAGCTGAGATCAAGAGTCGGAGGCTTAACGGACCGAGGCACTCAGGTGCCTCTCCTCTGGTGTTCAGATAGGCCTGTCAGAAGCCTAGGGTTAGCCTGAATGTCAGTCGACATTGTATGGCCCTGGGTAAGATGAATTCTTTAAGTTTCCTGTGGGCCCAGTGATCAGACTCACATAAACCAGGGTTTTGCAACCTTGGCCTATTCACATTTGGAGCAGGATAACTCTTTGTTGTGGGAGGCTGTCCTGCGCTTTGTAGGATGTTTAGCAACATCTCTGGCTTCTACCCACTGAATGTCAATAGCACACCCTACTTCCCTAGTCATAACAATCAAAAATGTTCCCAGACCTGGCCAAATGTCCCCAGAAGGACAAAACTGCCTGTGGTTGAGAACCACTGATCTAAATCCTCCCCGGGAGAAAGGTCTTGAGGCTTTATATAACAAGGGGAGAAGCCCCTCCCTTGCCTCTGCTCCTTCTCCATGGGGCAGCCCCCCAACCTTCCACTCCCAGGGTGTCTAAATGGTCTAAATGGCAGCCAGGTCTGAGCAGGGCACATCTGGGTGGGGAGGAGCAGATGGGGTATCTTTCCTATGGATGTCCTTAAACTTCTCAACCTGGGCACAGGAGAGAAGTGGGCATACTGTACTTAACAGGTACCCTCCAAAGCCGTCCCCAGGTAGGAACTGCAGTGTCCTACAGACCAACTGGAGGCTGAGTGAGCCCCGATGATGTCACAGAGTGACGACAGACAAACCAAGATCTGTAAGTTTTTTCTTTTGCAAGATGCTCTTCCCTCTCTTCCTCCCATCCCCCACCCCCACCCCCATGCTGTAGACTTGACCCAGGCTAAGCCATGGGCTTTCACCAGAGCCACAGTTTTAATTCTAACTTGCCTGTGGCTGACCTGATAATCTAGATTTTCAGCCCCTGTGTCACATATGTTCCACTCCTGTTTCAGATAGGACGTTTCATCCTCACTGCAAACCCTTCATGGCCCGAAACACAATTCCTTATCTTTCCTGCTGATTCAATGCAAGTCAACACATACTTACTGAGTGCCGTAGCAAAAAGTGCTAGTTGCTTCCTGATGTCAGTCTTTCCCTTCTTCAGTATTAACAGAGTCCTGGGCAACACACCCAGCTAAAAACTACATTTCCAGGCCTCCCTGGCAGCTTGGTGTAGCCATGTGACTAAGTTTTGGTCAACAAGGCATAAGCAGAGGGTGACAGAGGACTTCCAGGTGAGTGCCTTAAAAGGGCAGGGGTGCATATACCCTTTTTGTCCTTTTGTCCTTTCTCCCTCTCTCTTCCTGGAATTCAGATGAAATGGGTGGAACTCCAGTTGCCATTTTGGGCCATGAGGAGAATTTGAGGATGACAGAGCAGGAAGGTAGAGGATCCCAGTGACTGTGGAGCTACTCCACCTTCCCTGGAGCTGTGAGAGAAGAAAGTCCTGTGTGTTTAAGCCGCTGTGAGTGGACTTTGTTATCAGCAAACTGAAACAAGTGGCCTACTGCCCCGCCCCAGTCCACACATCTGTCTTAGCCATTCTCCAACGTTCCCTGTCAGCAGATGCCAAATTCCTTGGCGTTGTCATCGATTCATCCTCTTTCTCCAGCCAGTCAGCCACCACGACCTGTCAGTTTTCTGCACTAAACACCTCCTGTACCCGTCTGTCTTTTCCTCTTCATCATTTTCCGCTTGGTGAGGGTAGGCAGGATTCAGAGATATGTGGGACGAGCGGCTGGGATGCCCAACTAGGCCGGGAGATGCCACAAGGGGCAGGCATGGGGGTGATACAGTTGTTTGATCAGTTAGGATTTTTGTTTACCCTGTGTGCTCAGGACCAGCACAGTGCCAGACATTTAGTAAGCAATCAAGAAAAAAAAATCTGGGGGATTAACGGACTAATTAACTTGATATACACACACGTACATGCATAGATATGGCCTCTCTTTTTGTCATTCATGCGCACACACATTACCTTTCTTTCTGGAGACACCAGGTTACAAAGAAAACCCTCAAGAGTTTGCTGTTGACTAGAGCCATGTCACTTGTAAGAAGGACAAAATATGTATGCGGTCCGCTGGAAACCCAGGCCTGCTAGTAGAAATAAACTAACCCCTTGTTGAAATCACACAGGAAAACTGAAGGGAGGTGGGGACACGGGTGGCAGGAAAAATGCCTGAGATCTTACACAGCTTGTGCAAACAGAATGACGGGGCTGGGAAGCCCTGGGAGTCTAGGAATTAATAGCCCCGCCGAGGCTCCGGGGCTCCGGAGATGGAGCTATTTAAAGCCAAGAAATGTCATTTCCACCCACAGAGGCTACCCCAGTTGCATTATCTGGACCCTCTTCAGCCCCGGTGTTCTGGCAGCCTCCGTGGCCTGACCTCCCAGTTGGGGCTTACAGCCAACGTGTCGTCACTGCTCTGTGGGAGGGGGAGTTGACCTTAGCCTCTCCCGGATCCTTCTCCTCCTCCTCTCTGCTCAGGCCCCAGGACAGCTGAGTGGAGACTCAGGGCCTGGTCCACACCTCAGCACAGAGGTTGCTGCCCACACAGAGAGGCCAGCCAGCCCAGCAGGGTGGGTCTAGGCCCAGGGTGGGGGAGATGGGGTCTGGAGACAGAGACTTTTGCCCACCAGGATCATCTCCTTGTCTTGCTCTGTGACCACAGGCCATTTGTTTACCCTCTCCAGGCCCCCATTTCCTCACCTGGACTGGGAAATGAAAGAATCTTCCTCTCCTCGTTCTGTTTCTGGGGGAGGCCACAGGAGGGTAAGGGGAGTTTTTTGAAGCTTTGAGAAGAAAAGCACCATAGAAATCCAGGTATTAACCTGCAGCTCCTTCCCTCCTCCCCTCCAACTCAAGGTAATCCTGGAACACTTCCTCTGGAGGTAAGAAGCCAGGAGGCTCATGTTTGAAGTGTCAGTGGGCTCCAGAGTGTGTGACAGAGCCATCAAGCCCAAGGTCCCAAGAGCCCAGGTTCACATTCTTGCCCGGCATGTGAGGTGAGAACTTCACATTCTGTCTGCTCTCATCTCTCATATCTGCTCTGGCTGATGTTCCTGCAGCCCAGGGGAGGAGGGGGACTCAGAAGCCTGGAGAATATCCCAAGTCAGGTCTGCCCCGCAGGTGTCTGATGCCCAGCAGTGGCTGGGCTCAGGTCTGCCCCGCAGGTGTCTGATGCCCAGCAGTGGCTGGGCTCATTTCCTGAAGCTGAGGTCTGAGTAGTGCAAAGCACAGTGGTGCCCAGTGGGTTTCTAAGGAAGGTGTAGTGGAATGCCGGGCACACTCCAGCTTCAAGTCTCCCCGAATTCATTGCTGAGCTTGCCCACCACTCAAGGGGCAACGGGGAGCTAGGAAATCGCCTTTTTTTTTTTTGAAGGTAACCAGTGGAAACGAAAACTTGTAGGCCCTTCTTCTCTCCTATGCCCCCTTCTCTTAACAAATCTTGGCATTTCTCTCATTTCATTTTTTAATTGTAAATTCTAGACACATTAAAAGGTATGTATCAGTCAGAACATGCTAGATTATGTGGCAGTACCAAACAACCCTGATATCTTCTTAGTGGCTTAACACACTTCTGCTTCTGCTACATGTCCTTGAAGGATGAGCAGGGGGCTCTGCTCAGGAAATCACTCAGGGACCCAAGCTGATAAGACAACCACCATCCCAAACATTGTCAGAAGCAAAAGAGAAATCCGGAGGGTCTCAAAAGGCAATTTAATGCTCTAGCCAGAACTAGTCAGTCACGGGACTTCCCCCGACCACAGGGAATCAGGTGGTGCAATTCTTCTAACACTTAGAAGGGAAAGGGGCCACAAATGTCTGGAGAACAACAATCATAATGACCACGGAATAAAGAATGACATCACTAACACCGCGTATCCATGCCACCCAACCTAGCAAATATCACTTTGCCA